AACTTTTTTTTATGCAAATTGTCAAGAAATAATTGTTACAAAGCTGATTTTTAACATTTTTTGCAATTTAATTTAAAATTTTGAGGTTATGTCAAAAAAAATTTTCGAGAAAAGTTGTAGATCTGTCAATTATCTACAACTTTTACATTTAACTTTTTTTGATACGAGTTACAGATTTCGTTTTATTAGCAAAAAACCGTTTTTTTGGCCGTTACGCGCTATATAAATTAATATTTTAACAATAATAATTGAAAAGGTACCATATTTTGAAAACATGTTTTTGACGTAAAATTTGACGGAGAATGCGATAAAAATACTAAAAACTTGATTCGTTTTGGGGGCGTTTGTTAAAAATCGATTTAAACAATTAAATTGTTAATAACAATATAAATTTGTTAGTATTTTTTGTAAAAAAAATTTTTTTCTTACAGTTCAGTCCTTCAGCTACAAAAGTGCAATTGGTGAAAATTTTGTAGCTCTTAAAGATTCGGACCTATGGATTTATGAAAATGAGTCTCCAAGCCAAAAAACTTGCCATTCTCAAATGTTCGATCACTTGTATTATCGAAAATATGCAAATAAAAAAAAATTCCTCGGACACGTATCTCTTTTTTTTCGACATAGAATCCGTAAAAAAAGTTTCAGTCAAATCGAAGAGGTGCCGATTAATTTTCATCAAAATCCGTTCGGTTTGTAAAAGAATTACCCATTTACATGTGAGATATAAATATAATATAATACCCAGCTAACAATGTTACGTCAAAATGACGTCATTTTTCGACCCGTAAACGTTGTCAGTTACTTTGTCAACGACGTCATTTAAACGTCGCTATGACATGAACGTGATTATCAAAGTTTATTAATGTTATTATTGTTACATCATAATGACATTGACAATTGATGTAACAGCGACATTTATCCTGTAAATAAGCTAACGTTATTTATCACCATTTTGACTTTAAAATGATCTAAAAATGACAACAAATAATATGAGTTTGTTTACTCAATTTTCAGACTTATCAATTGCGGTACTTTATAGTAACTTTACAATTAA